TCGTTTTTCCAAATAAATTTCATGATTGCTTTTTCTATTTCTAGGAAGAATGTCAGCGGGATTTTAATAGGAATTGTATTAAATCTGTATAACGCTTTTGGTTGTATGGCCATTTTGACAATATTAATTCTGCCTATTCAGGAGCATGGGAGATCCTTCCATCTTCTTAGGTTTTCTTCAATTACTTTCTTTACTGTTCTGTAGGTTTCATTGTAGAGGTCTTTCACCTCCTTTGTTAGATTGATTCCCAGGTTTTTTTTTTTTTTTTTGAGGCTATTGTGAATGGAGTAGTTTTCCTAATTTCTCTTTCACATTCATCACTGATGTACATAAATAAGTTTCACTTATGGGTGTTGATTTTATATCCTGCTACTTTGCTGAATTCATTTATTAGTTCTAGAAGTTTTCTGGTGGAATTTTTTGGATCTTCTAGATACAGAATCATGTCATCAGCAAATAGTGATAGTTTGAGTTCATCTTTAACTATTTGTATCCCTTTAATTTCTTTCTTTTGTCTAATTGCTCTGGCTAGAGTTTAAGGATGATGTTGAATAGAAGTGGTGAAAGAAGACATCCTTGTCTTGTTCCAGTTTTTAACAGGAATGCTTTCAATTTGTCTCCATTTAGAATTATGCTGGCCTTGGATTTACCATAGATAGCTTTTACAATATTGAGGTATGTTTCTACTATCCCTAGCTTTTCTAGTGTTTTGAACATGAAGGTGTGCTGAATTCTGTCAAATGCTTTTTCTGCAACTATTGAGAAGATCATGATTCTTGTTTTTAAGTCTATTAATATGATGAATTACATTATTGATTTCTGTATGTTGAACCAACCTTGCATCCCTGGGATGAATCCCACTTGCATACTTATATCCATTTCTAAGAAATACAACAGAAGAACCTGGTAAATGATACCATGAGGAAATTTTAGGACAAACACAGATTGTGGGATATTTTACAAGACAATTGCCCTGGTCCTTTCAAAAAGCCAATGTCTGCATAGGGATATACCTGAAGTAGAGTGCTTGCCTAGCATGCACAAGGCCCTGAGCACCAGACCCAGACAGACAGACAGACACACACACACACACACACGTCAATGTCTAGGGTTGGGGTTGTGGCTCAGTGGTAGAGCACTTGCCTAGCATGTGTGAGTCACTAGGTTCAATTCTCAGCACACATATAAATAAAATAAAGGTCCACTGACAACTAAAAAAATATTTTAAAAAGTCAATGTCTAAAAAGAAGAGTTGAGAGAACCATTCTAGAACGTAATCAAATGCTATTTTGGGAAAACAATTAGGAAAGCTTGAATAAAAAACTGGATAACTGATGACATGAGGAAATTAATTTTCTTAGTTGTGCTAATAGAATAGTAGTAATACAGGAGAATGATGATTTTAGGAAATGAATAATGAAGCACATAGGAGTGAAGTATCATGAAGTCTGCAATTTATTTTCAAGTGGTTAAGCAAAACACATATATTGCTGAGCATGGTGGCTCATGCCTATAATTCAAGCTACTCAGGAGGCCAAGGCAGGAGGATCACAAATTCCGGGACAACCTAGGCAATTTGGTGAGACTGTCTCAAAAATGAAAAAGGGCTGGGATATAGCTCAGTGGTAGAATGCCCCTGAATCTCCAGTCCTACAAAACAAAGGGGAAGGAAAGAAAGGAGGACGGATGAATGAATGAACACGTATATATTTGCTGGTTTTCATAATAAAAACTTGCCAAGCATAGTGATCCATACCTCTAATCTCAGCTACGTGGGAGGCTAAGGCAGGAAGATCACAAGTTTGAGGCCAACCTGTCTCAAAATAAATTTTGAGATCCTGTCTCAAAATAAATTTAAAAAAAGAGTTGGGCATGGGGGTGGCACACGCCTGTAATCCCAGCAGCTCAGGAGGCTGATGCAGGAGGATTTTTGAGTTCAAAGGTAGCCTCAGCAACTTAGCGAGGCCTAAGAAACTCAGTGAGACCCTGTCTCTAAATAGAATACAAAAAAAGGCTGGGGATGTGGGTTAAATGCCCCTGAGTTCAATCCCTGGTACCAAAATAATAAAAAATAAAATAAATTTTATAAAGGACTGGAGATGTAGCTCAGTGGTAAAGCACAGTTGGCTTCAATCCCCAGTACAAAAAAAAAAAAAAAAAGGAATTAAGATGTTTACATTGGGGTTAGAGGGTGAAGAGGTAGTTTAACTCCCATAAATTCTACCTCAAGATTCTCCACAAACATGTTATATGACTGAACTGAAGACATAATATCCAATACCACTCAACCTAACCATAAAAATGGTCCTTTCATGGAAGCAATATTAAGACCATGGGAAGGGTGGGGGTACAGCTCAGTGGCAGATTGCAAACTTGGCATGAGAGAAGCCCTAGGTTCAATCCTCAGCACTTAAAAAAATAAGGCTTGGGCTCTCATCCAACAGATGTAGGCAAGGTTCTAATCTTAGTTTCACCCATTTTCTTTTCTTTTTCAGGGTGGTGCTGGGTATCACCCAGGGCCTCATAAGTGCTAGGCAAGCACTGTACTAGTGTGCTATATACCTCAGCACAAGTTTCACTCTCTTTTAGCTGACATTCCATCCCCTCTCCTGGAAAAAAAAAACAAACGAAAAACCATGACTCACAAGTTTTTTTAAAAAAAATGATTGGCACATGGTTCTATGTTGAAGTGGCAGGAACATATGCTTTAAAATATAGCAGGCATGGGCTCTGATCCCAGCTGAGAACTATAGGAAATTTATTAAATCTCTGTGCCTCAGTCTCCCCATTAAATGATATCTCCCACCTAGGGTCACCATGACAATTTAAATGTAAAATGCCCTAGGGCTGGGGATGTAGCTCAGTGGTACAGCACTTACCTAGCACCATTTGCCCACAAAATCCTAGGACTTAACTCAGTAGTTAGAGTGCTTGCCTAGCAATGGTGAGGGAGGCCCTGGGTTCAATCTCCAGCACCAAATTTGTTTTAAAATAAATGGAAAGAGCCCCAATAAAGTACTTGACACACAGTAGGTATTCAATAAATGACACATCTATCTTACACAAGTCTGGACTCAGTTCAGTCTCCCTCATCACAGCAGGACTACCTGACACATTGTGCAAACCAGGTGTCAATCTTTTAGGCACCAACTTCCAACCTTTGGGCTTCTCCCATTATCTCTAGAGATGACAAGAACATCTCACAGCCAAAAGCCTCTACAAGCACTCAATATCATAAGCATGTCTATAACACATTATATGAGCTGTATACTGATAAAATGTTTCAAGGAATTTTTTTTTCTGGTGCTGGGGATTGCAGCCAGGAGTGCTTTATCACTGAGCTACAACCCCAGCCCTTTTTATTTTGAGACAGGTTCTCACTAAGTTGCTTAGAGCCTCATTAATTGCTGAGGTTGGTCTCAAACTTGTGATCCTCCTCCATCCAAGTCATTCTATCACATCTACCTGTCCCATTTCCTGCACAACATTTATGACAGTCAAAAGTTATCTTATTTCCTTCTTCTTTATCTTCTTTCCCCAGTACAAAAAAAAAAAAAAAAAAACCAAAAAACTGTCAAGGCTGGCCTCAAAGTTGTGATCCTCTTGCCTCAGCCTTCCAAGTAGCTGGGATTAGGGGCATCTGCCACCATGACCAATCAACTCTAGGACATTTTTGATGGTCATATCTGAGGAGTGGGGGATGCTGTCATCTAGTGGAGAGAAGCCATGGATGCTGTCAAACATCCTACAATGAACAGGACTATTCCCACAGCAAAGAATTATCTTGATGAAGTGCCAATGTTGAGAAACTTTGCTCTAAGCAGAGTCAAAACCAGGCAAGACTATTTCACAGCAAGGCTAGAAAATTATTCGCTACATTTCTGGGGTATAAGAACACAGCAGGATTCCAAACGGACCACTTCTGGGGGTAGGTGAGAGGAATCCATGGGGTATCATTTAAAAGTGAGGTGTTAAGATACCAAACAGAAGTCTTAGCAGACCACTCCGAAGACACCACCCAAGGCATTCCAACACATTAACCTGTCCTATTTCCTGCACAACATTTATGCCAGTCTAAAGTTATCTTATTTCCTGATTCTTTATCTTCTTTCCCCTCTAGAATATAAGTTCTCTGAAAGCATGGACTTGGCTTATTCTCCACTATTTCCACAATTTGAACAACTTATAAACATTAAAACATTCAACAAATTTGATAAGAAAATAAAACCAGGCTTTTGGTGGTTTCCGGTAGGAAATGGGGGGAGTTCTACACAACAATTTCTGAGGTCGGGTTCGGGACTCCAAGCCCTCTGAAGACTCAGGCTCAGGGTTCAAAATTCAAAAGTGCCGCCTCTGGAGATGAGTAAAAAGGAAGGAATTGGAGCGTACCAATGCGAAGCGGGAGGGGGCGCTAGGTTGAAGCATAAGTGTACTGTATGGGACCGCAGGACACGACAGAGCGAAATGTCGTCCCACATTTCACGGTGGGGTCAAACAGGGCTGGGAAGCTAGAACCAGACAGACCAGCAGGGAGCCGCGCAGCAGGAAGCCGACAGCTGGCAGCTGCCTCCGGACGCGCCTCTTTTGGCGGGAGGGGGCAGTGGGCGCGGAAACACACAGTTCGGCCTGAACCACTAGGACCGGAACGGGGGCCGCACAAAACTCGCGCAACTGACACCTGGGGAAGAGGCTCGAGCGAGAACACCTGAGCGGGGAGAGTCGAACTCCCCCCGCCAGGAGAGGCAAGGAACCTTTTAGGCTTCACAACGGTTCAGGTTACATAGGCTGGGTCGTACTACTTTGGCGTCGGATAGGGGGGTCCAGGCCGGGACGTGCGCAGGGCCGCAGCCGGGTTTATCTCACCAGAGCCATTGGGTCCAATGATGGCGGTGAACCTCTGAAATGGTCCGATAATCTGTCGACCCTTGTACGATTTAAAGTTCTCGATCTCAATCAGTTTCAGGAAACCCATGTCGGCGGCGGCTCCAGCGGCGGTAGGAGAGGCCGCGCCGTAAGCCCGGGAACCGAGGTTACCCGCGCGGGAAACGCCGCAGTGCAGGCCGGGCGGAAGGTAAACCTCGCGAGAGTAAGCCCAGGCCAACGGGATATCCGACTTCCTGCGCGAGTGGGAACTAGGGGCGGGAACTTCGGTCTGACGTGGAGGTTTGTTGATCCGTTGCCCAGGCTCGAGCTAGGATTTGGGCCCGCCCCTCTTTCTTGTTGCGTGGCAACCACAAACCGCTGCTGCAGCGGACTAAGTTGTAGAGAAGTTGGTGCCAGGAGGACTCAGAGCAGCTTTTGGGATCCGAGAAGGCAGGCAGGACCTGAACCTACGCTTGCCGAGACAAGTCAGAAGTCACAGCAAGGTTATGCCCCCCAAGGGCAAGTGAAAGGTGGGAATTATGCTGTGGCTTCATTTAGTCTAGAAAGCCTGAAGGCTTAGACAACGACTGGGTCAGGAATTGGAAGGACTCCGTGGAGCAGAGGGCTGAACGGGAAGGAAGGAGCCAGTGAGAGGATTCATTGTTTAGGTGTGCTCAGATTTCGCTGATGGTGAGGTGAGATTGCAAAATAGATGTAGAGTTAAGGGGGACGGGGTTCACCAGGAGACAGGGATACAAACTGGGGAAGGCTGTGGCCTCAGATTTACCCATGTCCTTCTTTCCTGTTTCTCCAAGCGAGCTCAGAAACTGCCGCTGTAACCCAAGAGCAGACTTGGACCCAAATCCAACTAGGAGCTTCAAAATTGCGATTCTTTACTGAGAAATCCCAGAGGCCAGGGTCCCTAAGGCAGTGCTCTGCACCTGCATCCTTCTTCCCTTCATGCCTCTCCCCCATGCCATTTCCACTGCTGCATACCCCTCTGCCACCTTCCCTTTCTTTCCCTCTTCCTCTTTCCTCTTGGTTCTCTGACTTCTACTTCCCTACTCCCTTGTTACCTTCCTTCCTTTTCCTCCTCTGCACCCCTGACACTCTCCACTCAGCTTCCCCACCTTTTCAATCCCTCATCACTAACTTTTCATCCCTCTATAATCTGTCACCTTATACCTATTCATTACTAAGGTCATGGCCTTAGCAATACAAGAAGCTTAAAATGCCTACTGAATCTTCCTGGTCAGTGACCTTACATTATGGTGGCAGATGGAACTGGTAGGCTGGGGTTGGTGCCATTCTCAGATGTGGAAAGGATCTGGTGGTTGCTGTAGCCACTCCTGTAACTATTTTTAAAATTATATCTGAAGGCTGGGAAGAGTCCTAAAGACAAGACTCTTCCTCAGGACAAGTCCAGAAAATTGAGAAAGTGGTTGATACAATCAAGTAGGAGACCCATAAATGAAGTTCACTTGGAAGAAAAAGTCACAATCAGACAGAGGGGATAAGATGAACAAGGACAGCTATTTCATATTATTCACAGAGAAGGAGAGAATTATTGCTCCTTTCTTCTTTTTTCTTTTTTTCAGTGCTGGGGATCAAACCCTGGGTTAAAACAAGTGAGAAAGGTAAAACTTTAGAAATTTTAGAAGAACATATAGGAAAATACCTTTATGATCTCTGGATAGGAAGGAATTTTTAAAAAATAATAACCACTAAGTTCAAAGGATAAAAAAAAAGGGGGGCTGGGGATGTGGCTCAAGCGGTAGCGCGCTTGCCTGGCATGCGTGCGGCCCGGGTTTGATCCTCAATACTACATACAAACAAAGATGTTGTGTCTGCTGAAAACTAAAAAATAAATATTAAAAAATTCTCTCTCTCTCTCTCTCTCTCTCTCTCTCTCTCTCTCTCTCTCTCTTATATACATGCACACACACACACGTACGCACGAGAAACTTTCCCACCTGCACATATGAAATCTCTCAGTCTCTAAGTTCCTCTGTCTTTTTCTCTTGCAATTAATAAAAAATCCTTAACTAAGTTGTTTGTCTTGCAGGGTCCTAGTTTCTTGAACCAACTTCAATTGGGCTTTCATCCCTATACTCCACCAAAGATGCTCTTGTCAAGGTCATCAGCAACCTTCATGTTTCTACATCAGTCAAATCTCATTTCTCATTTTACTTAATCCATCATCAATTGATCACTCTCCTCCAAAAGCATTTTCTTTACTTGGCTTTAGGAAGATCACATCTCCTAGTTTATCTCCCATCTCACTGGCCACTCCTGTCCTTGTCTCCTCTGGGGCATTCTTATCCATCTACACTTACTCCCTAGAGACTTCATATAGTCTCACAGCTTTTCATTTCTTTGTGTTAAGGGCTGGGAATGCAGCAGTTCAGTGCTAGAACATTTGCCCTAGCATGCTCAAGACTGGGTTTGATCCCTAGCACGGCAAACAAGCAAACAAAAAAACCCCATATTTCTTTGTATCATTCAGGATAGGCTACATTATACTGAGGTTACAGATAACCCCAAAATATCAGCAGCTTATAAAAGCAAAAGCTTAGCTGGGTGCAGTGGCACACATCCAGCAACTTGGGAGGCTGAGGCAGGAGGATCACGAGTTCAAGGCTAGCCTGGGTAACTTAGCAAGACCCTGTCTCAGAATAAACTAAAGAGGACTGGGGATGTAGTCAATGGTAGAGGTGCCTCTGGGTTCAATCCCCAGTACCACAAAAATATAAATAAATACAAATAGAATAAAAACAAAAGCTTATATCTCACTTAAGTTTCTTATTCATTGTGGACTGGCTGCATCTCTGCTCTGTGTCATCATTCCAAGACTTCATCATTACAGGACCCAGGCTGAAGAATTACCTGCATGGGCAATTCCCTCACCTCCTTCAAGTATTTGCTCACATGTTACTTTTTCAACTATGCTTCTCCTGACTTCCATATTTAAAAATTGCAACACTCTCTCATTTCCTTGGCACCTCCAATTCCCCATATCCTGCTCTATTTCCATATTGCTTATCATCTTCTTACAAATTATTCAATGTACATTTTAGGTTTTATTTTTTATTGTCTGTCTAGAAAGTAACCTCCACAATGACAGATTTTTGTCAGTTTTATTCCTCCATGTCTCACAAATGCTTAAGAGCATCTGGCCACTAGTAGACGCTCTATGAATATTTGTTAAATGATAGGATAAATGCCAAGTAGAAAAAGCAAGATTCAGAATATATACAGCCTGATATTTTATAAAGGTCAAAACCAATAAAACTTGTAAAAACGTTTTTCAGAGATTCATACACATACAATGTATATTAATAAATATTAGAAGGAAATGATAATAGATTTTGGATATTATATAGGGTACTGTTGGAGTAAGAAAAAGAAAGAAGAAACATAGGACACTTCAATGGTATTGATAGTGTTCTATTTCTTAAGGTAGGGGTTGGTGTCTTTATTTTGTCATACTTGCAATCTTACATCAGGATTATATATATTTCCCTGTATATATCAACTACTTCACAGTTACAAAATGATTGTTTAAAAAAGACCTCATGTAGGATTGTTTTAAAAAGACCTCAATAGGAGTTGAGGAAAGATGCTCCACACAAAGGAACACCACATTCAAAGGCCCAGAAGTGGGAACAGTTATGTTGAAATACTTGATGGGAAGCCAGTGTGCCTGGAGCATGGGTTATGAGACCAACTGTAGAGGTGTGGAGGGATTGGATCTTGAAAGCCCATGGGTGTGGAGGGATTGGATCTTGAAAGCCCATGGTAAGGAATTTGGATCTGATTCTCAGTGCAGTGGGAAGCCTATGGAGGATTTTAAGCAGGTGAGAAACATCATCAGATTTATGTTTGCAAGAGGTTTTTGTTGTTGTTGTTGTTGTTGTTTTTTACTGTGGCTTTGGCTCACATATCAAAAGTGGGTTTCCCAAAATGTGAAGGGACACAGATGAATTTAAGACCTTGAAACTTTCATTTCACTAGAAAATAAGTAATAAAATAAAAACAAAAGGGGAAATTTATTTCAGTAAAGAAAACGTCTGGTTGCTGTGTGATGAGTGGGCTATAGGAAACAATAGAGGAAACTGGAAGACCAATCTGGAGACCTCTGCAGTCATTAGGAAGGTGACAATCGTGGCTTTGACTGGGGCTATTTTGAAAGAAGAGGGAGTAAGGGAAAGGAGGAGTTAAAGGATGTCCCCTGAGTTTTGGGCCTGAGCAACTTGGTGAATGGTGGTACCACTTACTGAAATGAGGAAAACTGAGTAGAGTATGAGAAAGGGTGAGATGTGTCAATGCCTTTGAGGCTTAGAAAGGTGAGCAGGGTTCAGATCATGAAGAGCCTTATAAATCTGGCAAAGGGGGTCGGACCTCATTTTATGAGCACAGGGGAGCCATTAGCTTTAAAACTATTTTCAAAGGTTTTAAGCTGAAGAGTACCATGGTCATATTTGCTCTCAGAAAGATCACTCTGGTGGCCAGGGCAGAGAGGATAACATGGAACAAGGGAGGCCAGTGAGGAGACTCCTGGGAATATCACCTAATATCAGACTATGAGGCCTGAATTAGGGTGGTGACAGCAGAGACGAAGACACAGATATGAAATATGTCAGAAAGTAAAATCAGTAGGAATCAATAACTGGTGACATATACTATAGGGATAAAGGAAAGGAGGTGGGATGTAGTCAAGGACTGTGGTCAGCACTAATGGGCCATTCCACTTCCCCTTCACTCCAGATGTATAAGCTAGGCCTGCCAGCAGATCCCAAGGAGGTGGCAGCCATTGAAGCTAGAAGAAATCGAGAAAAAGAACGACAAAGCCGATTCTTCAATGTGCGGAACCGTGTCATGGGGGTGAGTAGGCAGTGGGAGTCATTTCACAGAACTGGGGCTACATCACATGACTAGAAAGAAACACAGCAGTGCCTATTATAGTCCTTTCCCCGACTCAAGCAGGCCCTGGGGCTAGAAAGGAAGGAGGAAGGGGTGGTACCCTCTCCCATAGGCCCAAAAAGGGATTGGGAAGGATGGGTGGTACAGGGGGTGACAGTTGGCTCTTTTATGGTCAACCAGGCCATGTGGTCTGGTTCTTGAGAGGCAGGCTATGTGAATCCAAAAAAAGAGCTAAAGTGTATTTGGTATTATGTATGCATAAGCCATTCTGGCAAAGTAAGTAATATACTGCTAACCAGACTGAGGGTGAGAGACTGAAGGGATACTTAGTCTCTACTGATCTGTATTCCCTTCTGTACTACTTTAAATGTTTCCAATGAATTATAACCAAAATAAAGAGAAAATATTGATGGTTTAAGAAATAAAAAAGGATTTTTTTGCTAGGTGGATAGAAAGAGGAAATGCAGCATGGTGTTCTGGAAAAGACACCTTAACTGTTTGAGGCCAGGTCTGCTGTTTGTTAGAGGTGTGGCTTTGGATAAGTCACCTTATTTTCTCTGAGCTCCAGTCTCCTCTTCAGTTAAATAAAGGAAGCACTGAGGTGGCAGCTCTGATAATTAGAGCATGGTGCCTGGCACAAGTAAGTAGTTGGCTACGTTTGAGTTATTAGACAGAGATCCGAGTGACAAGCATTTCCTCACAGGGACTGCTCTGTTGAAAGCACTATGGGGCAGTGATGATACAAAGACGACTAAAGCCCAGTCTCTCTCATGTAAGAGCTCACAGTCTAGTAGAGGAGATATCTGAAGCAAACTTCAATGTAATGTAGACAATGGGTCCTAGATTATGGGAGTAGAACCTTCCTGAAGGATCAGAGAAACAAAGATTGAGCTGGTCTTGAAGTGTGAATTGGAGTTTGGGTAGAGGGGAGGAAAGTGTTCTAAGTAAAGGAAGCAGAGCAAAGGCTATAGATTCAAAACTGCCTAAGATGTGCAGGGAACTGGAAGCACAGCTCCCAAGTCTAGTGAGAAGGGGAGACGGGGGAAAGGGTGCAAAGAGATGAGGCTGGAGAAGGAGGCAAAGGCTAGACCATGGAAGCACTTAAGAGCCATGCTTATGGGTTGGAACTTTATACAGTAAGTTCTGAGAAGCTACAGGAGGATTTTTAAGTGGGTAAGTTCTAAGCAGTTTGTTAGAGCACTCAAGGACCCTACTGGGACTCTGCCCTGATTTAGTCCCTTTCTTTGGGATCCAGGTGGATGTTGAAGCCCTCAACAACCAGGTAGAGGAGAAAAAGCTTCGGGAGGCAACTGAGCAGAGCAAGGATGCAGCTTACGGTAAATGTCCAAGGCCACAGGTCAAACCAAGAGCCTGAGTAGGCTCAGGTAGGGCAGTTCTTCCTGTGTAGAGGGCCTGAGGTCCTAGGGTGGTGAAACAAACCAGATGGCCTTTGGGAGCAGAGGCATGCTAACTGGACCTCCTGTGGTGCCTTCCCATGTCCCTGCCTATCACCCCCAGCTGCTAAGCAGGTGCAGTATGATCTGGTAGCCCAGATGCTAGAGAAGGAAGAGGCAGAACGGGCACGTCGACTGGCCAAGAAAATCCAGGATTTTCGGGAGCAGAAGCAGCAGCTCAAGAACAGGCGTGAATTTGACCCTTGGGATCCAGTCCGACTCCAGAGGGAATTTCCAGTCTATCTCAATGACAGTGATCCCTTTTATGGCCCGGCCAGCATGCAGTGCTTCTTTGGGGAGGACCTGGACAGGACCACATACCTGAGAATGCAGCAGGAACAGTTCAGGTACAGCCTGGAGAGGCAGCTGCAGGAGCAACAGCAAGCCAGGGTTGATGAGAAATGTGCAGGTAAGCAGCCAGGCCTTCTGGACTCAAGAGTCCCAAGGTCTAGCAGGCAGCTCTCCTGAGCTAGGTACTACACCCAGGAGGCTAGAACTCTGTGGGGAGGTCATTACCCATTACCCATATAACTGATGCTAAAAGTTTAGGCTGTGTAGGCACCAACTTCCCTGACTTCCTTCAGTAACTGACAGTGTAGCTGTTGTTCATGATTAGCCTGGCATTCAGTTACCGGGGGACAACATAGTATACACACGCACCTAACAGCTCTGCCCTGCCTAGCTAGTTTGGGAAATGAATGTTCCTTTCTGTGCTTCAATTTTAATTAATTTTTTATATTTATTTTTTAGTTGTAGTTGAACACAATATCTTTCTTTCTTTCTTTATTTTTATGTGGTGCTGAGGATTAAACCCAGGGCCTCACATGTGCAAGGCGAGCACACTCTACTGCTGAGCCACAACCCTAGCCCTAATTAAGTTTTTTTTTTTTTTAAGAGAGAGTGAGAGAGGAGAGAGAGAGAGAGAATTTTTAATATTTATTTTTTAGTTCTCGGCGGACACAACATCTTTGTTGGTATGTGGTGCTGAGGATCGAACCCGGGTCGCACGCATACAAGGCGAGCGCGCTACCGCTCGAGCCACATCCCCAGCCCCCCTAATTAAGTTTTAAATTTATTTACTTTGGTACTGGGGATTGAACCCAGAGGTGCTTTACCACTGAGCTACATCCCCAGTCCTTTTTATTTTTTAAGACAGGATCTTGCTAAATGGCTTAAGGCCTTGCTAAATTGCTGAGGCAGGCCTTTAACTCACTATCCTCCTGTCTCTGCCTCCCAAGTTACTGGGATTTATGAACATGCACTACTAAACCCAGTTTAATTAATTTTAATTAATTGTTAAATTATTATTTTTTAGTGCTGAGGGTTAAACCCAGGGTTTCATGTTTATGTGCTTAGTTCTACCACTGAGCAAAACCTCCAACAAGTTTCTTCATCTTTAAAATGGGGATAAATGAGGCCTGGTGGTGCCTGCCTATAATCCCAATTTCTAAGTAGGCTGAGGCAGGAGGATCACAAGTTTGAGTCCAGCCTAGGCACAACTTAGTGACACGCTATCTCAAAATAAAATATAAAAAGGGCTGGGAATGTAGCTCAGTGGCAAAATGCCCCTGGGTTCAATCCCTAGTACTACAAGATAAATAAATTAATTAGATGGGGATAATAATCCAAATCACATAGAGTAGCTACTATTATTATATTCTCTGTGGCCACATCCTTCTCTTCCATCAGAGGAAGCCCTTCAAGAGCAAGGTCTTATGTATTTTAATTGCTCACCTTTCAAATCAACAGTTTCTGACAGTTCCTAGAAACAAGATCATTGTGTGGCTAGAGTGGAAAAGAATGTCAGTGCTGTGCCCTTTGCTTGTGCTGTGCCCTCAGCCTAGAGCACCATTTGCTCTTTTTGCCTGTGTACAAGGATACCTCCTCCTGGAAGCCTTCCTGCTACCTACCACCCAGAGCCTTCACACTTTGTGTGTGGGTGCTAAGCATGTCCTCTACCACTTTTAGCCTCCAAGCCTTTGTTATGCCTTGTATACATCTCTGCTATTGTCTTTACCAGATTGTGGTCTGATAATCTGTTTGATCTGTGTCCCCCACTAGACAGCGGGGGGGGGGGCAGGATCTAATTCTGTGGTATGCTTAGAATCTAACACATGGATCTTATAGTGAGGTTTGGAGGTGAAATGGTTTACCCAAGACTACACATTTCAGAGGTGGCAGAGCTGCACTTTGACCCAGGTTGCTGCACTTTGGCTATCCCTAGCCCCAAAGAGTAACCCCTTCCACATCTCTACAACTTGGACACTAATTCCCTCCCGAGTATACATATACCTACATAAAATTTGTTGACTAAATGGCTGAATGAATGAACCAGGAATGGAGGAAGTTGTATTTCTTCATGTAGATATGCTCAATGACCAGCTGCACTTAGCCATGGACATGCGGGCCGCCCACCTGGCCAGGCTAGAGGAGTCCTGTCGTGTGGCCATGATGTTTGCCATGGCCAATGCCAACAAAGCCCAGGTATGGCTTGACCCCTCCAGTGCACCTGGTCCTCCCAACCCCCTGAACAAAATCCTAGGGAACCTTAGCCACACCCTTCCCCTCATATCCTTTCTCAAATCAGTTCCAGAATTGTCATCAGCCTGAGGACACCCCCTTCATCTAAGGTGCTTCTTAGAATACAAGTCACCTCTCCCTACCTCCAAACACAAAATGATTTAAGAACAGAATATTGCCCTCTAATCCTGAGTGCAGAGAAGTTCCCTGTCCATTCCACCACCTATCCTTAGGATAATTAAAATCATGTAGTGTCTTTTCTTTCTCTCTGAGATGGAGAAATAGGGCCACGTTTCTCCCACCCTTGCAACTGAGAGTTCTCTGAGGTTGGGCACTCAAATACTTATATTTGCCCACCAGGCAGCTGAGCTGGCTGAGCGGCAGCGCCTTGAGCATCAGCGCCAACAGGAAGCCAACCTCATGGAGATTCAGAACCAGGTCACCAGTGACTTTCTAACTGAGAACCCCCAAGTTGCCCAGAATTCCATGGCTCCCCACCGGGTTCTGCCCTATTGCTGGAAGGGCATGACTCCAGAGCAGCGAGCCGCCATCAGGAAAGTCCAGGAAGCACAGTGCCATGAGAAGGAGGCACAGCACCAGGCTGAGCAAGCATTGGATACTGAATGGGAAAGCCAAACCATGCACCTGGCCCAGGCAGCGCAGGAGCTAGAAGAGCAGGAAAGGGAATTGTGTGCAGAATTTCGGAGGGGGCTGGGTTCTTTCAACCAGCAGTTGGCTAAGGAGCAAAAAGCCCAGTGAGTTCTAGGGAGTGGCAGTGGGGATGAATACCATGGGAGGGTAGGGAAGGATGGTGAGGACCAGGGAGAGAGGGAAAACATCAAGTGAGGCCTCTGGACTTTTTTTTTTTTACAGGCAAAATTATCTGAATTCAATAATCTACACCAATCAACCTACAGCCCAGTATCACCTACAGTTCAACACTAGCAGCCGCTGAGGTCAAGATGGTCATCTCTCTCTTCTCTCCTATCAAGCTTACAGATGCAAATGCTACATATCCCCACCTCTTACCTCTAATCCATTCCCCAGTGAGAGAGAGCTAAGACAATATCCCCACCTTCTACCCTAAGTAATAAAGTTATTTGCTAAATTCAAGGCCATGTATTGTTGTAACAGGATATACAAAAATGTGAGGTACTGCCTTTCCTACCCTACCTTGGGACTCTATATATCCAACCCTGTCAAAGCCTTTACCTTTCTTCCCCATGCCAGTTCCCCCAGCACAAAGCACTGCCCACAAAGTAAGAAAATAGTTTATTAGGCACAGAGGATGACTGGTACACAAAGTTAGTAGTACCCCAGGAGGAGGTGGGGCGCAGGAGCCTTTGTTTTCCCAGACTTCTCCCTTCAAGGCTGCATGCGGATGGCCCCATCCAGCCGGATGACCTCTCCATTGAGGAATGGGTTCTCTATTATGGTCTGCACCAGATGAGCATACTCAGCAGGGTCACCCAGTCGGCTGGGGAAGGGCACTTGGCTGGCCAGGAAGTTGCGTACCTTCTCTGGAAGGCTGGTCAGCAGTGGGGTGCCAAATAGGCCTAGACAAGATAGTCAGAGTCAGAGACCCACCCTTGTTTTCATATTTACTCAGTTCTTCTTCACCTTAGGCCTACTTCTTGTGCCTCTCTAGGGACTAGAGATGGAAGGCTACTGTTACTTAGATAGTGGATACCTGCCCCTCACAAGTGCCCATGGATCCCATCCAATCCCAGGTATGGCAGGAAAAGAGAATATGTCTACCTGGAGCAATGGTCATCACCCGGATGCCTATTGGAGCCAGATCCCGAGCAATGGGCAATGTCATGCCCACTATGCCCCCTTTGGACGCAGAATATGCAGCTTGTCCCACCTGGAAAAAGAGTAGAGGTCAAGGGTGGAGAGAGCCCAACAAGTCAAGAGGAGGCACAAACTTTGCCCCTGATCACACACCTGGCCCTCAAAGGCAGCCACACTGGCAGTGCTGATAATAACCCCACGTTGGCCTCCCTGGTCTGGTTCATTCTGGCTCATCTCACCAGCAACCAGACGGATCACATTGAAGGTACCCATAAGATTCACCTGGAAAATGAGCAGAGACATGGTATAGGACCTCAGGCAGAGGCAACCATTTGATCACTAACAACTTTGGGGATAACCACTCCCAGAGAGTTCATTCCCACTCCTGGAGAACCTCCAAGGTCTTACATTGATAACTCGCTGGAAGTCCTCCAAGGTATGGGCCTGGTTCTTCTTTAAGTTGTATGTCTTAATGGCCACTGCAATACCCGCACAATTCACAGCCACATCCACCCGGCCAAACTTCTCCTTTGCTAGAGTCAGGGCCAATTGTACATCCTTCTCAGAGGTCACCTTCAAAGGGAGAAACATAGAAAAGGTATTCATTTGCCAGCACATCATCTCACTACTAAACCTGGGGGAGGAGGCCCAGTCCTTGGGTGGGAACAGAATTGTGTGAGCAAAAGACAGATGAAGAGGGACTGGGATTGTGGCTCAGTGGTAGAATGCTTGCCTAGCATGTGTGAGGCACTGGGTTCAATTCTCAGCACTGCATATAAATAAATTAGAAAAATAAAGGTCCATTGACAACTAAAAATTATTTTTAAAAAAGACAGATGAAGAGAAAGGGTTGTAGTAAAACGTGAGGAGAGTGGAGTGAAGGTGTATATGTCAGGTACTATAAAGCAGTGTTGCAAAATACCTTTCAAACTTATACCATCTTTTGATAAATTCACATATCCCTGGTGATTCTCGATTGCTATGGAGCAAAGAATTAATACAACCCTGTTTTGAAAACTTTTGATAGGAACATAAATGAGCTTTTTTTTGTATCCCCACCTACTAAGAAGATTTCATGAAAATAGTTTTTCAACTTTGTAAATGTAAAACCATTAAGGTACAATATGCATTTTCAAATTATGCAATCCTCCCTTGAAGCAATTCTGATAAGTCCAATTTCTGAGGCTGTGGTGCAGTTTTGGGTTCCTTACTGTGGGTAGTGGTATAGTGCTTGAAGGCTTAGGCCAAAAGGGACAAGTTGTTATCCCACAGATAACAACTTTATGGGAGGGACCCCCACGTGTTCCCAGGTAGGTGGTAGGGGTCTCAAGGACACCCTGGGAAAGTTGAAACCACTCACATCAGTTGGGGCGAACACGCAGCTCTTTCCTAACTTCTTGGCCTGGGCCTCACCACCTGAGTTGGGCAGGTCCAGAAGCACAGCAGTAGCCCCTTGATTCACCAGTCGCTCCGCGGTAGCCAGACCAAGACCCGAGGCTCCTCCAGTTATTACCGCGACTAAGCCCTGAAAAGGGACACCATCAGCAACTACCCTCTCCAGCCTTTCACACGCGGGTTCTACAGGCTTCTGAGGGGAAGTGGGTGGGGGCGGGAGGTGGCCCAGGTGTACTTCCTCTCCTCACTGATGAGATCGTGAGGGAGGGCAGGGGGGCGAGGGGTTTCATTCCCCAAATAGTTCTGTGACCCCCACATATTACATATGCAGCAGACTTTCCCTTTACTCAGCCCAACCGCCACCGCAATACCCCGCCCACATAAGCATGGCCCTTTCTTCCTAGTTCCTGGCCATGCCGTCTCAGCCTGCAAAGCGAGGCAAAGAGTGGTCTACCTTCACGGTCCGACACGCCGCAGCCATCTTGCGTCCGCTTCACCACTGGAGGCTTGTCCCTTTAGCACAGGCGCTCGCTGATTGGCTGAGGTGGAGGTGGTGCCTGCGGGGTGGAACGACCGCCGCGGAGGACGTAGGGGCGTACCCTTCTTCTCCAGATAGAGTCCTAGTGTGATGTTTGTGGAGACTTATCTCCCCAGGAAATAGAACCCCAAAGCAGCAGCTCATTCCTTTTGTCCTGCTCTCTAGCTGGCCATTTGGCAGGTGGCCAGCTCCCTGGGGGAGATGAAGGGTGGAGATTGAAAGGGAGATTGAAACTGTTCACTTATAAAGAAATTTGAGATCCCCAGGCACTGGGGATACTCGAATAATAAAAGGTTTATGCCTTCTAAGAGGGCACAATCCAGTTGGAGAAAGATAATTATTAAGTACAGTTGGAGAGGTGGGCGCAGTGGTGCAAGCAGGCAATTCCAGCAGCTCCAGAGGCTGAGGCAGGAGGATCATGAGTTCAAAGCCAGCCTCAGCATTTTAACGAGGTCCTAAGCAACTCAGCAGGACCCTGCCTCTAAATAAAATATAAAAAACGGCTCCAGATGTGGTTCAGTGGTTAAGTGCCCCTGGGTTCAATCCGCAGTACAGTTGGAGGAAGACAATTACAGTGCAGACAACAGAAGGGACAAAGAATTTATTTTTTTGTGGTGCTGGGGATCAAACAATGCACTCCACCACTGAGCTACATTCCTAGCCCAAGAACTGGATTCCAGAACACAGACCCAAGAATGGAGATTCTGAAATGAAGAGGTACCAAAGAGAAAAATATGTTGAGGCAGAAATAGAGATGCCAGACAAGATCACAGAGATATGAATGTGGAGAGCCACTAAGAGATAGAAATGCTAGGAGGCAGACATTCATTTTGATACAGATGCTGTTGAGAAGCACAAACACAGAGAAGTCCAAAAGCCCAGATCAAACATTGTCAATTTCACCTTAACCTGAAACCGTTATGTAAGACCCAGTTTTTTTTTTTTTTTTTTTTTTTTTTTGGTACTGGAGATTGAACCCAGAGGCACTTTACCACTAAGCCATATCCCCATCCCACCCCTTTTTAAAAATTTGAGTCAGGTTTTCACTAAGTTACTTAGGGCCTCACTAAGTTGCTGAGGATGGCTTTGCAATCCTTCTGCCTCAGCCTCCAAAGTCACTGGGATTACAGGCCTATGCCCAATTAGAATCTTGAGCCCAGTCTTCTTTCTATACTTTCCCCAATTCAAGGTCTTCAGGCAATAAATCTAAACCTACGTTTTCTTTTCTTTTCTTTTCTTTTTTAGTTATAGTTGGTACAATATCTTTATTTATTTATTTATTTTTATGTGGTGCTGAGGATTGAACCCAGTACTTCACACATGCAAGGCAAGCGCTCTACCACTGAGCTACAGTCCTAGCCCCGAAACCTGCATTTTCATCTTCAGAATTCCTTTATGTTTTCTCTATCTCAAGTATCTTTTCATCTGCTTTGCCACCCAGGAAGAGTTCTCTCTGGGCCTCCTAGTTGCTGATGACTACCAGACTCATGTTCACCACATCATATTCATCAAAGTTATAGCACCATACTCACAATGTTTCTGTCTACATTAAGGGCTCCCATCAATTGATAGCACTCTTTGCTGACCCAATATGCTTCAATAACAGGGGCCCACTTTTTGTTCATATTTGAATTAGCTGTTTCCTCTGCTTAAAATGCTCTCCTCCTGATCTTTGAATTCCTCCTGCCTTTTAAAAAAATTAGTTGTAGATGGATGCAATATCTTTATTTTACTTATTTTTTATGTGGTACTGAGGATTGAACCCAGTTCCTCACATGTGCTAGGCAAACACTCTACTACTGAGCTATAATTGTAGTCCACATTCCTGCCTTTTTTTGACATTCAGAATTAAATTTAAATATCACTTCCAGAGGGGCACTCCCTGACCACACAAGGTGTAAATAGTCACTGTCCCATTGCTTATTTAAATTCTTTATATAAAACTTATAGATCATTCATAATCCTTTTTCTAACCCTGGGGCTAGATATATTTTGGAATTCAGATTTTTTTTTTCAATTGTAGAAAGGAAGACATACAGTTTATATTACAAAACTCTTTATACTGCATATACTCTATATTATATAACTACTGAAAAAGGTCTGGGGCATGTTAATTAAACATTAAAATATCTAAAATGAAAGTTATGAAAATTCACATTGTGTGAATAAAGTCTACAAATAGCCTCACTCTACTTCAGGTCAGGTTTTGTCCCCTAATGAGTTTGGACTCCCACGTGTGAAAAAATAACCATATGGTTTTCAGAACTTTGATACTGAGGATTGAACATGTGGAATTGTGCCTGAA